AGAAAAATTCTCTTTCACTTATATCCTTATCTTTCTTTAAAATTCCTTCTCAGTCCTTTTTGTTTTCTATTTTTGGACAAGTCCCACAAGGGTCGGGACTGCCAAAAATGACCTCGCGGAGTAAGTGGGAAGAGAATCTGAGTTCGATTCAGTAGTAAATTTCTTTTTTTACTTTACATTTTTTTCCGCATTTATTTTGCATTAAGTGAAATTTTTATCATTTAGTAGTAAAATCACTAGAAGAAAATTATAGCTCATCTCATTCATTTGACTGTCTGATTCTTATGACTTAAATGAATGAAAATTTTTATCTTAAAAAATGAAGTCAGGATTCTGATGACCATCAAAAGTTGTTCAAAATTACCTGAATCATTTTTTCAACGTAGCATTTGGTAGAGTAACAGTTAAACAGAACTTCAATTTATGGGCTAGTAATAAGAGTGGTGGAATGATTCCAAACTTTAGTCGGAGAAATTCGCACACTAATTCATATCTATCTATAGACTATAATGCAAAGGAATAGGTAGGCTGCGAGAGTATAATTGAACCACCATGGCACGATACTATATGCATAAAGAGTGGAAGCTCTTTTACGTAAGAGAGGGGAATCAGACACGACCAAGACTTCCCCAAATCAGTCCCTAAAACCTAAGGGTGTCTTTGGGAGTCATTGTTACTTTGTTAGGAGGAAATTAGAAGGTTTTATTTATGTTTGTGAGTTTAAAAAAAATGAAAGATGAGAATTAGTAATTTTTATAAAACCCTTCAAAACCTTTTTCATATTCCTCCAATTTGGAGGGTTTGAGGGGGAATATTTAACTCCCAATCCAAACAAGGGAAATAGAATACCCTTCATTTTCCTTTCCCTTCCTCCGAGAGTTTCTTCTGTGCTACGGTCGTACATATATCTATCTCCCATTTTTGGATCAAAAGTGAGGATCCAACGGGAATTAGGGAAAATATTTGGATTGAAATGAGATAATATTTTCCTTTTTTAGCAAAGAGAAGAACCCACTTGTATACAATTGTAGCACTCAAAAAATTCTCTCCCTCCCCCTTGAATTCCCTTCATTTCTTTCCTCTCCAAACTCCCAAATAGACCAAAAAGGTACGCTATGTTTCAAAGCTCGGGACCAATGGAATGAAGTAGAATAGAAGGGCATATCTTAGGTCCCTCCCTTATTTGGGTGATGAAATAAAAAAAAAAAAGAAACGGTGGAATGGAGTGTTAAAAAGAGATCCATTTATGCAAGTTTTGGCCCTAATTTAATTGCTTCCCCCACTTAGAGAGGAAATAGAGATGTGAATTATTCTTTAGTTAAAAAAATATTTAAAGGTATAAAATTATCCATTTCATTATCAGATAATGAATTCGGGAGAATCGTTCTTTATAATGGATTCAAGAGTACTAAAATCAAATTAATCAGATAATTGATAAATCAGTGGATATATCCAAATAAACAATCTCTTATTCCATATTATTTTAAACATTTTTCATTTTATTTTATTTTAATTAACATTGACCTCAGTTTTTCAAGATTAGAATGTGATACTATATCGTGTTCACTCTTTCAATAAGTCATTTTCTTTTTAATCTAAACACTTATATATAAATAAATAAATATATATATATATATATATATATATATATATATATATATATATATATATATATATATTATGGGAAAAACATTTCTCAAGCTGTTTGAGATAAGTTTATCTCCTGCCATCCCAAAACTACGTCGTTTTGATTATTTATTTTGTTATATTTATTGATTCACCTTTGAATGGTTATGATTTTCCTTTTCTCTCTTCCTTTATTACTATTGATCCATCTTTGTACGGTTATGATAAGCCCATATATATATTATTTGTCATGTTACATAAATTTATAATGTAAAAATACATTTACATTTCAACTTTTATGTTATCGATGTGGTCATAGATTATAAAGTAAAATTTAGATAAGTGTCAGTACACTTTTCGTTGTGATTAAACTATTGAGATGTTTATTGAAAACTTAATGTTTTTACGTAGTATTTATTTTATTATTCACGAGTGTGGCTTACATAGGGTGTGTATGACAATCTTCTCGGAATCAATTTTTTTTTTATTTCTGCTTCCGGGAACATAAATGGATAGAAAACTCGTTTGGTAAAATCGGTTTATTTTTTTGTTTCCGGGATGAACCGGTTTAATTTTTGTGCTGGGGAACAGAAAAAAGAATAAAAAAATTTCTGTTTTTTTGTTTCCGGGCACAAAATAAGAAACACTTATCTTTCTCAATTACTCTTCACCACTACCATCATCACCACCGCCACCACCATCCCGACACGACCAACGCCACCATTGTCGTACCACTACCACCACTACCACTACCACCATCATAATTATCACTACCACCATCACCTACCGCCACCACTATCATCGTAGCCACTGCCACCACCACCACAACTACTGTCATCGCCGTCGCCGCCACCACACCGCCGCCACTATGTCATCACCATCACCATCGTCGCAGCCCCTGCTGTCACCACCACCACTACCATTTCCGCCGCCGCCGCCACCATGTTATCATCATCGCCATTGTCGCAGCCACTGCCGTCACCACCACCACCTATACCGCCGTCGCCATTATGTCACCGTTACCACCACTACACCATCGTCACCGCCATGTCATCACCATCACCACGGCTACCACCACCACCATCGCCACCATTATCACCACCATCGTTGCAGCCACTGCTGTCACCACCGCCACCTCTACGTCACAGCCACCATCACCACCACCACCACTACCATCACCACCACCACCACTACCATCACCACCACCACCATCATCGTAGCCACTGCCACCACGACGCCACCATTACTATCGACATCGCCGCCGTCGCCACTACACCGCCGCCACAGCCGCCGCCGCCGCCCCTCCACCACCATGTCATCATCATCACCATCATTTTCGTAGCCACTGCCGTCACCACCACTACCTCCGTTGTCGCCGCCACCATGCCACTGTTACCACTACTACACCATCGCCATCGTCACCGCCACCACCATGTCATCACCATCACCGCCACCATCGCTGCGGCCACTGCTATCACCACCGCCACCATTGCCATAGTCACTACCGTCACCACCACCACCACCACCGTCGCCGCTATCATTCCATCACCATTGCCACCACTACTTCCACCGCTGCCACCGCCACCACCACCACAACGTCACTACTACAACCACCACCATTACCACTGCCGCCGCCACTACCACCACCACCACACCATATAAAAAGGAAAGTGATGATCCAAAATTTTTTTATGTTTAATTGGAATGATTTTTGATTCTATTATTTGTTGTGTTATCAAACACAATTCTCATTCTCGGAATAAAAATAAAACATGTTATCAAACATATTTTTTTTCTCAAAAACTGTTCCAAAGCATAGAAATAGAAAAGAATTATTTCTTTTCAGAAACAGTGTCAGAAAATAGAATGGTTGTCATGCACACCTATAGCAAGAGTATTTATATATTTTCCTTCCATAAAACTCTCATCACCCTGTTCATGCATCTATTGTTACACACATATATATATGGAAATGATCAATTTACAAATTATTTTTATAAATTACATTATAATCTCTTGGAAGTACATAGTATAGCATAATGTATTTTCGAGAATACATAATATAATTTATAAGAGTTTGTATACAAAAAATTTGTAAATATAACCCTCTATATATATATATATATATATATATATATATATATATATATATATATATGTGTAATATACATAGATTGACGATCTCTCAAAAGAAGAATGAAATGAACAAGCTTAATCCATAACTTGATAGCTTTTAAAATAAAATAAATTTCGAAATTATTCAATTATTTAGTACATAATATCAATATAATACTGAATTAAATTGAATGTTTAAAATTAATTGTAAGATATATTATCAATCATGTATATAGTAAATTGTATTATAATGTACATCCTCCATGGGAGAAACAACGTGTTATACTATGTGCATACAATTAAAGGTTCTCTCTCTTTCTTTATAGAATTTAATGTTTTCAAAGTGAATGTAATTAAGTTATTTATATTCGTTCTCAAAACGACATTATTTTGGATTGTAAAATTAAAATATTATAATGAAGAAAACAATTATAACTCTGAAATAAATTATAATTACAAAAATATCTTGATTTTCGTCTCAAAATGACCTCATTTTGATTCAATATTCCTTCTTTATATTCATACAAAATATCGCACATTAAGAAATAAATCATATATTTTCTTGGTTAGCTAATTTTTTTAACTAGTATATATCTGATTAAGAGACAAGTAGATAAGAGAGACAACTTGACTTTTCACATAATGATTAATTAATTAATTAATTAATTTCACTAAGAATTTAAGAATACATGAGACGGCTAAATCAAAATTCCAAAAATATAAGTCAGGCCAGGATCATGATCCAAAATCTAAAATTTCTAATGTTATATTATGTATTACCCGAATCACCCATGGACCATGATTGAATCTCAACAAGCAAAAATGGGATTAACAGTGCAGATCCAACCAGATTCCCTTATATTATAGGTACTTCTCCAAAATAAATAAATAAATAAATAAAAATAAAAATAAAAAGAAACAGAAAAATCACCACCAACAAAAACATCAGTGAGAGAGTGAGAGTTCTACTGTGGCATTTATCTATAAAATTCCCTCGTTATTTCACACCAACACCAACACCATCGTGTTCTCATTCAGTCATTCTCCCGCTAAGAAAGCCAACCCAATAAAAAATAAAAAAATAAAAAAATAAAATAAAATCCACACCCTGCAAGGTATAGAGAGAGAGAAGTGAAATAGTGAAAGTCGTGGTATCCTTTTCAACACTATCCTAGTACATAAACGTTGTTGTTTTCGAAACTCTGTACCTGTACCTGTACCTTCACAAAAACCCAGTAACTCCGAACAGAGCTTCATCAATGGATCCGTGCCCATTTGTTCGGCTCATGGTTGAGTCTATGGCTCTGAAGCTTCCACTAGCAACCAAACCCGCACCCGTTTCCGGTGTTCACCCTTCAACCACACCATGCTTCTGCAAGATTCGTATAAACACTTTCCCTTCCGAGATTGCTCTTCTTCCTCTCTGTTCCTCACCCACCGACTCTGCTCCCCCAGACACAACCACCTCCTCCGCCGGCTTCCACCTCGACTCCGCCGCTCTCCGGCGATTCTCCGGCAAGCCCGCAGTCACGCTTCGCGTCTCCGTCTACACCGGCAGCATGGCCCGCACGTGTGGCCTCACCGGCGCCAAGTTGCTTGGCCGTGTTGTCATGAGCATTGACCTCAACGGTGCTCTCTCTCGTTCCACCACGTTCCACAATGGGTGGCTCAAACTAGGGAAGAAGAAGAAGAAGAAGAATAACAATGAACCGGATAATAAGCCTTCGGCTCGGCTTCATTTGGTGATCCGGTCTGAACCGGACCCCCGGTTCGTTTTCCAATTCGGAGGTGAACCGGAGTGTAGCCCGGTTGTTTTTCAGATTCAGGAGAATATCAGACAACCTGTTTTCAGCTGCAAGTTCAGTGCAGACCGTAACTCCAGATCCCGGTAAGTAACTTGCTATTATCTGGTGCATTTTAGTTTTCAATCACTGTATCTGCTAGCGTGAGCCTTAGTAGGTGAATCAAATCAACCACTTAATTACATGTCCAACCTTTTTTTTATTATTACTATTATTATTATCTATTATTTTATCAATTATTCGATTAGTCTAATTTAAGGTGAAGGCAAATCACATAAGCCACGATATTCTCCCTCTGTCAAATTTTAACACAGTTAAATTCTTAGACAATCAAACTCGAGATCACGATTAAACTGAAATAACTTATCACCAGTTAATTTATCATCTTTTGAATTTTCATATTTAGCTTATTTTTACATTATGGTCCATTCAATTAAGGGTTTGCAACTTCTGCACTAGAGAGAAAAAATGTGGGGTCCACACCATGTTTTTTTTTAAAAAAAATTAATTGCTATTACTAATTGAGAAATTATACTCTTATGTTGCATAAAATAGAGCTCTCATGTCACTCTGTCTTCTAAAGATGTGCCTCTTTTTTTTCTTTTTTCTAAAAGTTAGTGGGGCCTACTTTATTTGTCTCTTAATATGAGAAAACTTCTCTGACGCTGCATCAGAGAAGCAATCCCCTTACTAATTTGTTTAAAAAGTTTGACTATAATAAAAACTAAGGAAATGGTCAAACTCTTGTAATTATATGGAAAGTTAAGAATACATGATCGGTTATGGTTAATATAAAATTATGTACTAAATACCAAAGTTTTTATATGAAAATATTATTAGTGTACTTTATTTAGGTTGGGAAATTTATTAGTGGGAATAATATGGTAGGTTAATTATATTTAAGAATTAAGGTGAGGTTTAGGCACGTGGGCTGGCTTGTCGATATCTTGAGTGGTGGTACCTAACCAGTAACCATCATCACATGCTTAGTCGGGTCTCTCACCTTATCCAGCTCCAATTCATTTTCTTGTTTCTCTCGTGGCTTAGTTGTTATCCTTTTGTGCTCATTTTCATTTGATGGAAAATTATCACCTCCATTTGTTTCTTTCTCTTTCCCGTGAAAGAAAGAAACATTTAATGAATGTCAGTGGTACCACAAAAAAAATTTCATTTTCATAGGTCTATTTCCTAGGCTGGCAAATCCACTTTTGGAAAACTTTCCTTCACACTACAATTTTGACATTCCGATATAACCTTTGTCACTCCCCTATACACGAATATTACACCATTTTGGCAGTTTCAGAATTTTCATTCTTTCAATTATTTGTCTTTAACTTTTTATTTATAAAAAAAATATTTCTGAAGTTAATGCAGATAATTTGTCTGCATTTACTTTCAAAACAATGTTATTTTTGAGATTGAAAGATTAGAAAATTATAATTATAAAGACTATAATAACCCTGAAATAAATTAAAATTACAAAAAAATTCTGCCCCAAAACGACGTCGTATTGAGCTTACCGCATATAACTTATATGCAGGCAGAAAAAGCGAACCCTTTGTTTATTTATGAGTAGATACTCTTTTTGGTCCTCTGCAAATTTTACGATACCCGTTTTAGTCCCTAGCAAATAAAAAGGCTATTCGTGGTCTCTAAGAAATTCAAAATAGACCCATTTTAGTCCTTTTGAGAGACTAATATGGGTATTTTTTGAATTTGTTAGGGACCACGATTTCAACTAAATGGGTTCATTTTAAATTTCTTAGGGACCACGAATAGACTTTTTATTTGCTTGGGACTAAAGCAATTGTGAAATTTGCTGAGGACCAAAAATGATATTTACTCTTTATTTATTTAATAAGATAAAACATAAACATATAGATGCTTAAGCTTAACAGTCGCTGCCTTATCTACCTAAAACATCACTGTCACAGATTTTAAGTAAAACCCCTGTTTTTACTGAATTAGATGCTTTAACAGGTTTTCTTTGTATACAATGAATCCATGACTCAATTTTAAACTTAAGTTTTTTGCCCTCCCTTCTTTTTTCTTCTGATGCCTAATCTTCGAGTCTAGTTATAAATAATAGGTTCATAACTAAATTATTATGTTGCATATATGTATAATAAATGGTCTTTCATTAGCTACATACCCAGGTTTGGTATGGTCAAACAGACAAGCTGAGATTTTCCAAACTGTGAAACATAACTGCCCTGGATTCCCTCCCATGTGCCAGTATCTGGTTGCTGCCTCAATATCTTATATAAATTAATTAGTTTGTTACTTGTTATATTAAATTAATGAATAATTATATATGCTTCTTAATTTAATCATATATACTATACTACCTCTTGTTCATGATTTTAATTTTTTTTTACTTACTGAAAATTCAGGTCTCTTCCCTCAGATTTTACCAACAACCACAGTAAATGGAGAAGAACCTTCTCAGGTGTTAGAGAACGCAATGGGAGGGAGAGAAAAGGTTGGATGATAATGATTCATGATCTTTCAGGCTCACCAGTTGCTGCAGCCTCTATGATCACCCCATTTGTCCCTTCCCCTGGTTCAGATCGAGTATCAAGATCAAACCCAGGTGCATGGCTCATTCTTCGTCCCAATGGTGCCTCTGTGAGTAGCTGGAAGCCATGGGGTCGTTTAGAGGCATGGCGTGAAAGAGGTCCTATTGATGGCTTGGGCTACAAGTTTGAACTTGTTACTGAGAATGGACCTTCAAATGGAATACCAATTGCTGAAGCCACATTGAATGTGAAAAAGGGTGGCCAATTCTGCATTGATTATAAAGTAATGAAGGACTCTGGATTGGGTTCAAGGTTACCAGGTGAAGGGTTTGTGATGGGTTCAACTGTGGAAGGTGAAGGCAAAGTTAGTAAACCTGTTGTGCAAGTTGGGGCACAGCATGTGACATGCATGGCTGATGCTGCTCTTTTCATTGCTCTCTCAGCTGCTATTGATCTTAGCATGGATGCATGCCAGCTTTTCTCTCATAAACTTAGGAAGGAGCTTTGTCATGAAGAACAAGTTTCATTTCCTTAACCTGATTGAAAGTGAATTGGGTCAATATTGTTCTTGCATTACAAAGATATATATATACATATACCATATGCTGCAGTGATAACCAACATATGTGTTCCTACTTTGGTTTGAGCATATATAGAAGGTGAAATATGTTTCTTATGTTGCATGACACAATTTGTCATGTAACATGCAAAAAATGGGTGGGGTTCATTTTTTTATTTCTCTTTCTTTTTCTTTTTCTTAGTCGGTCACATCAATTTTTTTCTGTATTGTATGAGACAATTTGTCTCGTGCAACTTGAGAAACATATTCTCCATGTAGAAGTGACTGCAAATTGCAATTCAGTCATTGCAGCTTTAGCTGATTCTGTTTCGTGAAAAGTTCTTAGGAAAATTAGAGTTGCTAGTTTTGATGGTTCTACCCTCAACAGCAGAGGAAATTAGGGGAGTGATTTTAACAGCATTTTTTTGGTACTGAACTGAAGATTTGAACTGTACAGACAAATTAAACCACAGGCAAATGTCTGTTAATATTATATCTTTTTTTTTTCTTTCTAGATGCAAATTTCTATTTATTACTTTTTATGTCATTCTTTATTTCAAAATTCTATTTTTGACCTTGTTCATTATTTTTCAAGTTTCCATGAAATGCATATTAGTGATTTATTTAGCTTAATATTTCATCAAAAGATGAAACTTAGAACGAATTCTTTTGTTTTTTTTCAAACTTTCCCAGTGATTTATCCGATTTTGCAATGCGATAATAATATATGTTGTTATCCAGCTTATGATGCTAAATTAGTTCTATATAAGGTACGTATATTCAATATATATATTTAAAGAGAAAAATGTTTGTCTTTTTAAATGACATAACTTATATCATTTTACTCTCACAAAGAGGTGAGACTAACAATTTTTTTTTTCCACTCTCTCTTCTTTATTTATCTCTTTTTCTCACTTAAAATGACACAATTTTACCTCCTTTAAAATATCACATAGCTTATTTAAAATATTTCAACCTTTCTAGTCAGGGTTCGTTGTATGGACAGAGCAAGTAATGCAAGTTGTGGGAAAAATAGGTTCTGATAATTTTCTTATATTATACCATTCAGAATGAGTCACGTGTCATCTAGGGAACATAGCATACGATAGGATCAATTATCTTTGTTTACATTAACTTATTTTGAGTTTAAATTTTAAAAACCTTTTAAAAAAAACCTTTAAATAAAAGTAATTATTGTTTAGAATTTTTTTTAACATGCACTAATTAAACCTAAGAATATCTCTTTAAATTATATTTACCTATGTGATTTTTTCCATTTTATTTGTCAATGTTTATCAATATAGGAAGAACGAAAAACCATAGGAAACTTCGATTTTTCTTTTCCTAATTTTCTTTTAACCGATTTTGCAATGCGATGATAATATATGTTGTGGCCCCAGCTTTTAATACTAAATTAATTCAATATAAGGTACAAGTATTCAATATTTAAAATATTTCAACTTCGTTAATCAATATTCATTGTATGGATAGGATATCAATTTCTATAGCTGCATTTGTCATTTGAATTAAAAAAATATTTTTTTTTGTTCTTCGTACAGATATCTCAATTGATCCTCCATTTCTATTAGCCAATCACATGAATGCAATATGAGACAGATGTACCATAAATATTTTCGTATGGATAGACCAAGTAAAGCATCCGGGAAAAAAAGTTATAAAAGCACCGAAATACTTTAAGGGGTGTCTGGTAGAGAATTTTTTTTTTTTCAGAAATTTCAATTTTTAAAAATATAATTTTTACATTTAATTTACGATAATATCTAAAAATTTAAAATTTAAGAAAAATCAATTTCTCGAAAATCCTGACAAAAGGCACGTACCAAACGGCCTTATGTTTTCTTACATTGTCCCATTCATAATGCGTTATGTGCTTTACATAGTACTCGATCAACCATGTTAAATTAAGTGTATCTGTTAATTAACTTATTTTAAAGTTAAAATTATGTTTTTTTGTAAAATAATTATACTTGAATTTTTTTTTTATAAAAAAGGTAGCAAGTGAGATTTGAAACAATGATCCACTATTACGAAATCCGGACTGACCCGGTCGGGTTGACCCGGGAACCGATAAACCGGTCATATAATCAGTTCGAATGAAGCAATGACCGGTTATGCATCAGAATCGGTGCCACCCGGTCCGACCCGACCAGTTTTCATGAAAATCGGTGACCCGACTCGGTCTCAAAAAAAAATCTAAATTTTCTTTTCAAAAAATAAAAATCATAATGGACATATTTGAATATTTTTTTGCTTATTGACTTACATAAGTTATGTACCTACAACACTAATATTATCTCAATTATGCAGTATGCAGAAAATTTTGATTTGATTTATAGTTAGAGATGTCATTTTCTTAACCTAAAGTCTCGTATCACGATCACTATATTTTTGTTTGATCTTTTATTGGATAATAATATGTCATTTATTATTTTTTATATTAAAATATTTGAAGTTTCATGCGGTTGAACCAGTGACCCACTGGTTGAACAGTGACCCACTGGTTGAACAGTGACCCATTGGTTGAACCAGTGACCCAGTACCTCGATCGGGCCAGTTTTAATAACATTGCAATGATCTCATACAAACTATTCAAGTCCATTACCACTAGACCAATCCTAGTGGTGCTTAATTTTTATTTTTCCATAGGCGAACTAAGTATACCTTATAATATTTCTTTAAACGGTATTTTTTTCCCCATTTTATTTTTCAATGTTTAATAGTATATGGATAGTGAAAAACAATAATAAACTAAATAAACGATGTAGCACATCCAATCACCTTACACCAAGTATATCTAAGAAAATATTTTTAGGTTTTAGAGTAAATATTCTTTTTGGGTCCCTAACAAAAAACATGATTCTCATTTTAGTCCTTTATAAAAAAAAAATTAGTCTCGAGGTCCCTAAGAAATTCAAAGTGTACCATTTTAGTCCTTTTGAGGGACTAATGTGGGTCTTTTGTAAATTTGTGAGAGACCACGATTTCAACTAAATGAGTTCATTTTGAATTTCTTAGGGATTTCGAGATTAATTTTTTTGGCTAAAATATAAGTTACCCCTTGAACTTTGACCATGTTTTAAATTAACCTCTTGTACTTTTAATTGTTTCAATTAACCCCCTCTACTTTATAATTGCTTCAAATCAACAATTTTATTAAAAATTTTACAAACTCTGTTAAACCTCCTCACATGCCCTAAACCCCAAATCTCAAAAATTTATTCTCTCTCTTCTTCTATGTTCTCTCATCTCTTATTACAATATGTTCTCACCTATAGGACTGTATTGTTAATATATCCAACAGGTTTCACAGCTAAAATATGGGTCATTTGGAAATGTGATGCTTTAGGCATTCAATTCCTTAGAAAAACCTTCCAAGAGATTAGCTATACATGTCTCTGTTGAGGATCTGAGATAAACTCCTATCGGACTCGGAATATATGTTCAACTATGTCCAGAAGTCCACGTGCTTAAGGTAGATTAAAACGGTGAAATAACGTAGAAGCTATAGTTAAACTCTAAAGCTTGCCTTGGACTGCTATGCAGAAGGGAAATGCTAAACTACAAATGGCAACCCCAAAAATAAAACCACCAAACATTAAAAGAACTAGCCATGTCTCCTTTGTAGCTAGAAGATATTAAAATTACATGTAATCAGTTCCCTTTGTTATTCAGAAGAGTTACACCACTTTAGACGGTCCATTTATTCACTTGTAAGTGCAAAAGCATTGAAGTGATGTGCCCAGTACTTGGATAAAAACTCAGAGAGAAGAAGGGTTGAGTGGGGCTGATAACATGTATCAAGTTTCAAGACATGATGTATGCAGTTGATGAGAGCTTTCAAATTTCAAACATAAGAAACAAAAGCCAATTGATTTTATTAAGTAATAAGAGATGAGAGAACTTAGAAGAAAAGAGAATTTTTTTTTTTTTTTAGATTTAGAACATAGGGCATATGGGGAGATTTAACAGAGTTTATAAATTTAACAGAATTGTTGATTTGGCAATTATAAAGTACAAAGGTAATTTAAAACATGGTCAAAGTTCAAGGAAGTAACTTATATTTTAGCCATTTTTTTTTGTAAGGGACTAAAGTGAGACTGTATTTTTTGTTAGGGAGCAAAGGATATTTACACTAGGTTTTATTCCTCTATGGTTTTTTTTTTTTCACAATTTAATTTATAAATTTTATTCTACCAAAATATAATCAAGCCATGGCTTAGGCTTGGGCTTGCACTACCGCAATGAGATTCGGGCTTGTTACGCTTGTTAGGCGTAAATGGACTCATTGTATATAAAGCAAATTCGACCTTAAACTAATTAAAAAGAAAATAAAAAATAAATAAAAATTGAACGTTGTAGAATCATCGTCCTTAAATTTCTGTAGCATTATAAGTTATAACCACGAATGCCAATACCTTTCTAAGTTTCTCTTATGATCTGAGAAACCAAAAAAAAAAAAAAAAAAAAAAAGTCGCCGGAAACAGATTCCCTTCGGAGGCTTCTCTGTTTTCCGGCGATGGATTCCGGCGCTTCCTTCCTGTTCCTGATGTTGCTCTCAACGATCGGTCACATTTCCTCCGAATCCATCATCAGGCTCCCGTCGGAGAACGACATTTCCGGCGAGTACTGCGACAGCTGGAGGCTCGCCGTGGAAACGAATAACGCCGGGGTGTGGAAGCGAGTGCCGGCGTGTTGCGCGCGGTTCGTGGAGGAGTACGTGACCGGAGAGCCGTACTCGCGGGACAGTGAGGTGATCGGCGATTTGTCGTCGGCGTTCGCGAAGAGCGTGAGATTGGGCGGTGACGGAAGAGACGCGTGGGTATTCGATATCGATGAGACGCTGGTATCGAATGTGCCATACTACAAAGACATTGGATTCGGGTAAGTAATAACTGATATGATAATAGGTCTTTGCATTTTGGTGCCGTTGGATTTTGGATTGGTCCACTTGCTATATAGATAAGGGAACCAATTATTTTGGGTCCCACAGGTACATCAATGGAAGGTCACTATTGTTCATTTATTTGGATTAGACATTCCAAGGATTACTGATTGAATGAATTAATTAGAAAATAATTAGTAATAAATTGTTAAAATTGTTATTTTTTTTTTTTTTTTGGTGAAAGTTAAAATTGTTACTTTAAGTGCATACGATATGATAACTCATAAATAAACAAAGGTAAATGTAAATGTAAAATTTTTTGGGCATGTTTGGAGCATCTGGTAAAGAAGATAAGATATGATAACTTATCATATTTTATTTTTATCTCTTGATTGATGGGTTAATAGAATATGATTAGCTTATCCTATTGTCTCATTTTATCCTATCTAATACATGATTTCTTATCTCATGGGGGGAGCTGAGTTATGATTCAACAGGATAGTATACTAATATTGGATATCCAATATATCTTCATGCTACTCAATATATAGTCACGCTACCCAATATATTTGTATTTATTGCATTATATTTTGTTTTTTCTTTCTCCTTTCTCCTTATACATAATCTTATTAGATTGTTAATCAGGTGCTCATCAAACACAAGATATAATATAGGCTTATTAGCCTCATATCATATCCTACCCTTATCAGCCTCATATCATATTTTACCCTTATCAGCCTCATATCCTACCCTCTTTTATGGTGTAAATGAAATCATAGGAAAGCATTTTGGTACTATTCTATTATTATTTATTTTTTTGGTAAGCTGTTAGTGGTGATATACTTTGATTTATTTTATTTTTTTACTTTTTAATATTACTACATCAATGACGATTTGATAACATAATTTAGATTGATAATCACTGTATTAAAATCAATGAATTATAAATGTGAGGACTATAATGAAATATAAATGTGTTTTCTTTAAACAATAGTTTAACCACCAAGTAAGTGGATCAATAGGTAAGAGGAGTAGTCTAACTTAGTAGGGAGATCTTTGCTTTTATTGTGGTCCTACCCGATTTGATCGGATTAATTGATTCATCAAATCGGTGGAGAATCTTTACTTGAAAAGCTGCGTTTGGAAAAAAATAATTCAAATCCAATTACACACCAAAGTAACAAATCCTAATTAAGCCATTCATGAATAGCACTCTCACTAGATGTAACTAGCCTTGAAGAAAAGGAAAGTCTTTTGAGTATAGCTGTATAAGAGATGGGTTTCTACAATGATACTTGTAATTGTTAAGGGTTTAGTTGTTTTGGTAGATTGAATTCATTGCCCGAAGAACGACCGAAAGTCTGAACTTTGATAGCATAGAAACGGGAGTTTGTCAAATATCAATGGCTCTCACATCTATGGAATTTGGGTGATTAAGGAATAGATGCTATTTATGTGTTTATTATTACTAGTTAATTTTAGCAGGAACACCTCTGCTCTTTTCTTTTTCTTTTTCTTTTCTAACGAGGGGTATCCCATCCATTTGCCATTTGGATCAGAATAATTTCCTTTGTGGCATAAAGCATTAAATTTTTTGCCTTTGCCCCATATTGCTTCGTCTAGGAATTGAACCAAGTTTGTTGCTTGGGCACACCTCAACTGTGCCTCCCCTCGGGATTATCTGTTCTTTCTTTCAATTACCAAAATGAGTGAAAGAGAATACTCATTGAAAAATAAAGAATAAATACTCTTTCCGGTCCTAGCAAATTTTACAATGCCCGTTTTAGTCCCTAGTAAATAAAAAGAGTATTCGCGGTCTCTAAGAAATTCAAAGTGGATCGACCCATTTTAGTCCTTTTGAGGAATTAATATGGGTCTTTTTTTGAATGTGAGATCACGATTTCAACTAAATGGGTCATTTTGAATTTTTTAGAGACCACGAATAACCTCTTTATTTGCTAAGGGCTAAAAAGTCGTGAAATTTGCTGAGGACAAAAAAAAGTATTTACTCAAAAATAAAAGTGAAAGAGACGGTTATAATCTAAATTTGACTTGCTTAACCCATAGTGATTATGGTTTTCTTTGCTCAAGTTCATTATGTGTATCTTGCTTCAAAATTTGGACCACAGGTCAGAGGTTTTCAATGAGACATCCTTCGATCATTGGGTGAACTTGGCTGAGGCCCCAGCTTTGCCAGCCAGTTTGAGATTGTATAATGAGCTTCAGGAATTGGGCTTCAAGATATTTCTCATAACTGGGAGGAGTGAGTATCAAAGGAATGCCACGGAGACAAACCTTCTATTTGCTGGGTATCAAAACTGGGAGAGGCTCTTCTTAAGGTGTAAATAAATTATTTGTTCTCAGAAAATATATAAATGTTCTGTTCTGGTAAACTTCACCTGAAACTGCTTTGTTAATGAAACAGAGGCTCTTCTGATCAAGGCAAACCAGCCATTATTTACAAGTCTCAGAAGAGAGCAGAGTTGGTGAACGAAGGCTACAGGGTCCATGGGAGCTCTGGAGATCAGTGGAGTGATTTGTGGGGTTTTGCAGTGGCCTCCCGGTCTTTTAAACTCCCGAACCCAATGTATTATATTCCTTGATATAGAAATGGCTTCTCCAATCTATATTCATTTTTCATGATTGCTTCTTGTAACATCTTACGATGATTTTTCATGGTAAAATTATGCTTGTTACAACAGGAATTCTGAGTGATACTAGTTTCTTTCGTGCTCCATATCACAGATAAGACTTGTTTTGAGCTTTCGCATGTTTTTACCAAACAAAACAAAATAACTTAAGCTATTAGGTAAACATGTGATTTTGGCTGTGTAAACCTAACGCATAACTTTGGCGTCAGGTTAACTGCCGAAAAGCAATCAAGTAGGGGCTAGCCATAGTGGAAATCCAATGCTATTTCGTATGATTGAAGTGGAATTCTGGCAGGTAAACTTTTTCCAAGTAATTTGGGTATCTTGTGATTTTGGCTGTGTAACCTAAAGCATTACCGTGGCGTCAAGTTTTACTGTTCAGCAGCAATCAAGTAGGGGCCTTGTCGAATGCGGGGAGTGAAGTTGTTGAAGGTATAATTTGTAGCACCCGTGATAAACTAGTACACATTAAAGTATCCAAATCAAACAAGCATATCACGTGAACAATAGTGAAACATGAATTATCTATCTTTTATGTGGGTCAAGGTAGAGAGATATTAGAAGTCTCGCAAGTCGCAAATATTTTTTCCTTCAAAATATAGGCATGTCCTATCCGTGCAGGGCAAGTATAATTACAAATATGCATATTGAATTTATGAAGAATTAAATTAGCATGGTCTGAATTAAGATTGGTAGCACTAATTAACGGAACAGCAGTGACCAGACTGTAATTAACTACTAACTATCAAGGAGATGGTGAACTGGGATCAGTGTGCTTGGAGGAGGTACTTACAGCCACTGAACCACAAACAAGAGGCTTTGGTGTAGGGATTCTGAGACAACTTAGGCTACCGCCTGGGATCACAGAGCACTCAGGTTGAGGTTTCTGCATGTCTCTTCCAGGAATGCAGTTAAGTGAGAAATCAAAACCTACATTCCTAAAGAAAAGCCTTGAGCATTGCTGGCTGAACCCAGAAAAGAAATTGTAAGCAACGGTTAGATTTGCAAGGCTTCTTAGAGAGCAGATTATATCTGATAACTCCCCAGAAAGTTTGTTGTGTGCCAAATTGAGAACTTCTATATTTTGCAGGCAAGATAATGTGTCTGGCAAATGACCCATCAGTGCATTGTAGCTCACATCCAGAACTTGCATCTCTGTGAAGAGCCCCACTCCTTCAGGAATGCATCCAGTTAGCTGGTTATTGAGGAACAAAATCTCCTTTATTTTAGAACCCATGAAGCCAAAACTTGCTGGGATGTTTCCACTCAACTTGTTGTTGGCTAAATTTATCACAGAGGCAGGGGAACTACCCAAATTTTGTGGAATTTCACCTTCAAATTGATTGTTGTTGAGAAATACTGCATCCAGATTCTTATTGAAGAGTTCTTGAGGAAGTGGCCCTGAGAAGTAGTTGAATCTGATATCCAAGTAGATGAGGCTTGGCATGTACAAAGTAACAGCTGGGAAAGGACCTGAAAGTTGGTTGTTGCTGAGGTCTAACTCTTCCAGAGACAAGAGGTCTCTGAATGTGTCAGGAACAGTGCCAGTAAACCTATTACTGTTGAGGTGGAGTAAAGACATATCAGTGAGTAAGGAGAGCTCTTTGACAAGAGTTCCTTGGAGATTGGCATGGTTGAGATCAATGCCTGCAACTACAGGGACAGCTGATGCAGCCATTCCATCTTGACGATTATCACAGAAGACTCCTTTGTAAGAACACACATTAGAACCAACCCAACTATCTAAAATCTTTACTGGGTCATCAGTAATTGCAGATTTCCATGCCTGTAGAGCTGTGTAAGCTCCATCCAGCTTTGGCACTGAAGATCCCGGGGACTCCGGGCTGTTAATCCCTCCACCAACCCAAACCACTCCACCACCGCCAACACCAACACCAATACCACCGCCAACACCAAAGGCAGCTCTTGTTCTTCTTAAATGGAGTATGAGGAGGAGAAAAGCCAAAATCCAGCTCTTGTCCATTATTATCTGAAGATACCAAGATGCTTATTTGAGGGTATGCTTCTAAGGTTTTCCAAATAAGGTTGCTGCATTGAAGAGAGAGGGTGGTGGACTGGTGGGGTTGCTTAGTCTTGAATGTGCTCTATTCTATTCACCATTTTTGTTTTTAGTTTATGTAATGAGTCTGAGCCATACCTTTGTTCACTTTTCTGTGCAGATGTTGACTTCTGTTGAATGAAAATTTCTGTGTCAGAACAGTGAGGTGAGGTGAGATGGGAGAACTAATCAGTAATCACTACAGCTTTTTGGTGTTTATTCTTAGCGGCTGCAGATAGAAGGCACTTTGTTGTTTTAAGATATTAGACAGTTGGCAGTGCAGTTAAAAAAAAAAAAAAAAGGATAATGGCGAGTGTTGCACATGCTACCTAAACAAGATTTTGGTTAGTGTTATTTAAGAATGTTAATCGCATTGGTGAAAGCTACTTGACGCTTGTTAACTCCAAAAAGCACAAGAAATAGAGCCAAGTTGATGTGTAGTATCGCGGAACAGTGACCAAAGTACGACTGTTCATCAATTTTTTTACTTAAATATTATGTGAACAGTCTTATTTTCCAATCTGTCACAGGGGCAAGTTCGCTACTCGGTGTAGCGAACTCGATTTGCTGACGTGTCACATTTCTAGTGGATAACAAGTACCAAATTAAAAAAAATAAAGTTTGAAGTTTGCTACCCCATGTAGCGAACTTGGTGTCCACAAGAAACGTGACACGTTAGCAAATCGAGTTTGCTACACCGGGTAGCGCACTCGCCCCCATTACAGATTGGGAAATAAGACTGTTCGCCTTGACATTTAGGAAAAAAAATTGATGAGGAAGTATTGCTCCGCATGTCATCATCTCAGACGCATATTATTGTGATTAATCTATTTCTTCGGACATAGTAATAAATGAGAGAGACACTAAAATCGGTGTCTCCTAAAGATATGTAGGGGCATACTATGATTATTAGAGAACAAAATATTTGGGGATAGGCATATAGCTTAATTAACTCACTCACATCCTTTTGAAGTTGAATCCCGTGAATCTCAATTTGTACCAAGCAACAAGGATAAAACAAAAATAAGAAAAAATGTACTTTTACATGTGGGGCTGGTAGAGGGATTTAATTTGTGATGAATGATTGTCAGATGGTAGCTACATTAGCTAATTATTGTCAGTGCTCTCCATAGCTTCACAAGAATCACTATTCCTAATTTAATTGCTATTTCTAATTTTATGTTAACTCATTGTTATTAATTAATAATAAAAAACCTCTTTAGTGATTGTAGAATACTCTATTTAGCATTACTTTTACCTTTGCTTATTATCATTTATTTTTTTTAAATATTTTCATCTTTGCTTATTTTCTTTTTTACAAAACACATTATCTATACACACCGCATACTCACATAATGTACAATTCTACTCTTTCCCGATAAGCATGTTACTACTTGAGACACTTTCACTTTTGCTCTCACGTTCCCACTTTCACTTTCACTGTTACTCACAATGTGCCCTGTCTTACACACACCGCACTTGTTATTTTCTCAAGGGACTCACTCAGCCTCCATTTCATTTCCACTCACACAACTTGGCTCCATTTTTAGGCTTACATTGTCGGTTTCATAACCCCACTTTGCAATCTCTATAATTAGTTACAGAATATTTCATGTAAGTATTGATTTTAGATGCAAGATATATCTATAATACAACTACACAATCGGTCATGTCTCTCTCTATAGCAGCTTGAGATATTTCTCTGGTCCAAAGTGGACGAATGTTGTTGCATTTTAGATACAAGAGATATCTATAATACAAATATACAATCGAATTAATGTTATTTCTCAGCTTGAGTTATGTCTCTCTAGAGCTACAATCGGTGATGGGAAAAGGGAAAGATTCTTCTTTTTCAGCTCTTCTACAACATGAATGGAAATCATTGTAAGTAGTTGCATTTTCAAAGCATAGTCAGCAGAACTCGAGTATGCTTTATAATGGTATAGTGCTACCCACCAAGGCACCAACCCTCCCCGCTCACACCAATATAAAGGATAAGTCTGTTGGGAATGACTCATATTTCGCATGTTAATGAGAGCTCTTGTTGTCGGGGTCAGCAAAAAGACAACTGGAATTTCTTGAAAATCGAGTGACTTGTAACAAGTAGCGGTGAAGTGAATATAGTACAGACAAGCTGGACGTAGCCTATATTGGATGAACCATAATAAATTACTATGTCAATCTCTCTTCTCTTTTTTCTCTTTTGTCGATTTCGTGTTTTTGTCGATTTCCAACAAAGTCTAATGCATGTACATTAATCAGTTATTCATCACTTAATTAAACTCTTGTTCTACTTGAAAATAATTAAGCAACAATTAGAAACTAAGAAAGTGATACATGTATACTTGAGTAATATGATGAGTGTCCTAGACTAAGCATTAAGCAATTCGAAAACTTTGTGTAGGTATTAAACTAAGATTATTTCAAAGCCTCGAGAGTTATTTACGGCAAAAAGCAAATAAATGGCCAAAACATTATAATATCACGCAAGTCTATCTATATATTCTATAGGCTATCTGCTATGAACATTCTTCAGTCTTCCTTTTTTCTATTTCTGCCTTCAAGATCTACTCTTAACACTTGCAAGTTGCATGAGCTATCACCAATATTGGTAGGGATAACCGGTTAGGTGTGGTGTGGTCACGTATAATTATTGCAATATGGGTTTGAATTAGGTCCCATCTTTGATCCTTGGGGGTTGTTGCTGCATAAATGTTATGTTCCTTGGCCTTTACTTCTCTATCTACTCTCATCATCCAGATATATTGGTGTCCAGCATGTGCCAATGCTGGATTAGGACTTAGCGAGAGAAAATGGTACATAAAATCCTCTATTGTGATTATGAAGTTGCAAATTTCGAAGTTGAGAAACAGTGCATAGAGTCCGAAAAGGAGGACAATAATCGAACTGTTAATTAGTATCTCCAAACATGAAATATTTAAACATGTTTATTATGTTATAAGAGATAAAATTATCTTCTACACATACATAAAAGTACATGGGCTCATATGAAGAGAAGAGAGGAAAAAAAAAAAGCATCGTCCCATGTAACATCCCGGGCGCTGACGAGAGCGGAGAGTGATCGCCGGTGCGAAAGGACATGGTGCGAAAGGACATCGTCCCATGTAACACTTATTAATTAATTATTAATTCACAATAAATTATAACCATTATATTGACAGAAATCAACGGTTAAAATTTGATTATTAGAGTTTGTAAACGAAAAAAGTTGTAAATATAACATTTCCCAATGATATTAGAACTAAGTTCCCAAAGTTTGACTTTGGAAAAGGCATAAGAGCAGGGGCGGACCCAGGGGGTGCTAGGGTTGGCGCCCCCCCCTTCCAAAATTTGAAGAAATTTTTTAACATAAGTATAATACAAGAAACCTCCATTTTTTTCTCTCCATTAATGTGAAGTAGTTTTCTCCCACCCCAGAGAGTTTATAGAGCTTCTTTATATTCTCAAGTCCTATATCTATTGAAATCCCTCTAACTTTGATTGCATTTTTCTCCCTCCAAGAAAGTTAACGAAGTGAACAAAAAAAAAAAGAATGAGAAAGAGTGCAGTATCATGATTAGATCTTGTCGAATTGAAAAGTAAGCTCAGGGTTTAGTTTTGGGATTTTAGAGAGAGTTAAGAGATAGAGAAAAGAAAGTCACGATTATCAAATCCAGGATTTAATGCTTTCTTGTCGTTTTTTGCTTTAACAAAAAATAGGTTTATTTAAGATTACATCACAGTGTTGGGAGTATCAGTGACCACCAATAGAGCTACATGGTTTCTCTTAGTTCAAATTCTTTTAGCTATCGTGGCGCTTGTTTGTTTGCAAGACCTGGTGGTAACAATTAGCATATGGAATTAGCATTAAATTATGGGAAAAGATCTGTTTACAATTTTTTTTTTACAAATTACACTAAGTATGACCAGTTATACACTTTTGATTAAAGTATGACGGTCAGACACAATATAGTTTGTAAGAGTTTCTAAACAAAAAGTTTGTAAATATAACCTTTCCCTTAAATTATAGTTTAAACCTCGACTTGAAACTTACAGTTTTAACTTTTATTATGCTTAGATGTTAGCACAAATCTTCCCATCCATGAATAAAAATAAGAAGTCTGAGAGTTTTATGAAAGAATGAACCTTATTCTTTCGATCCCTCTCCTTTTCTGATGATTCGTGACATAGAGGGAAGTGAGGGGCAGAAGAGTTTTGGTGATTGTGCTTCTTGGCAATCTGTCTCTTCTGATTTATCTTTGGCTTTTTTTTTCTTGTTGGGCTAATAGTGAGTAAATAGAAAAAGATGTTAAGAAATGAGAGGGGTCTGCTTTGAATTACCTATTTAGACTATAGTAATTAGTACATATTTTTTGTGAAATCTAAACCTTCGCTCTCTTCTCTTTTTCTTTGTTTTCTTTGCATAAAAAATGTTCATTTTAGGGGTTGAAAAGGTGTAGTTTTTTTCAAATTGAAAGTAGACTTTACTGTGACATCTTCCACCTCTCTCTCTGTGTCTCCTTCTTTCTCTCTAAAAGAGGTATTTATGAGTTATGTTCTCTGGATTGGTGTTTCGGCCTACCACATATTGTGGTTGAAGAGAGGAACAAATATTTAATTTTTCGTATTTTGGCCTCTCATATATTATGTTTGAAGAGAGAAACAAATGTTTAATTTTTAGCCCCACACAGGAAAAATTCCTGAGTCCGCCACTGCATAAGAGGACCATTGGTTGTAGGTGAGGGTACAAATGGGCTGGGCTGGCCAGACATGCATAAAATACTTTAGACTTGACCTGATTTGTTAGCCTTGTATAGGGCCAAATTATAAGTGTGATCTGATCTATATTTAAAAAATTAAAGCCTTGTTACTAAAAAAAATAAAATAAAAGCTTTGGCCTAGACATGTTAGCTTGTTTAAGTCTATTATATATTTAATAATTAAAAAATTAATAACAATAATATTACTTTATTATTCAAAATCATCAAAATAATAATTTTATTTATTTTATTTAAAATTAATAATACGATATAGATTGGCCTGTAAGTTTATAGGTCCAACACGTAAAAGAAAACATATGACCTATTTTCTAAATAGGTTATTTTAAATGTCTGAGCCTGTTCTATTTAACTATATATAATAAAATGAGTCGTAGCCCCTATTAGGCCACTTGATCCATTTATCCCGCAACTACAAGAATTTTTTTTTATTAGTGACAAAATTTTATGAAATTTACCACGAATTTCTACGTCGCAAGTAAATTTCGTCACAAATTCTTGCGTCGCAAGTTTATTTGTGATGAAATTTAATTATTTATGTAAAAAATTATCATTTGTGACAAATTTTATGACGAAATGTTTTCGTCACAAATGAATTTTTTTTTCTTGTAGCGTAGGGCAACATTTTGTCTTGACGAAGACTTACATGGAATCGGAGTCCAATCTATTTATATGTTCAATTTTTAGAAAGACACATTAGAGAGAGGTGTTTGTAGGAGGATTATTATTTGTGGGCCAATACCATGCCTTGCAAGGCCCAAGTGAGATTAGAGTTAAATTTGATCATGTTGCTTGGTTATAGTCTTCAGTAGAAAATAATTTACTCTGACTAGCATTAGAGTTTTGCTTAACGACAAGCCTTGGATTCAAGATTTTCCAAATTAATCTGTCTTCTCTTCTAATGCTTAAAATTAATTAAAAGTTACTCTTATCAGTCTGCATATCATAGTTTTTCTTTTTCTTTTTCTTGGCAATACACTTTTTTTTGTTGATTAATTTCTTTATCTTTGTCTTTTCTATGTCTTTGGGCTTTTCTGGCCCATCTTGTATATCACGACCAAAATAAGAGCTCACACCTGAACAATATAGCATATACGTATTGGTTCTAGACAGTTAATGTGTCTTTTCAATTTATGTAATAAATCCTTATTTTTCCCTACCAAAAAAATCCTTATTTTCCATTTTAAAACGTGTTCTTGTTTCTAATATTCATAGGCTTGCTTGCACATAGCTGGGCCTGTTCCGGACATGCAAATATATGTAAGTACTATGCACATAAACAGCCCTGATGTACGGCTATAGCATAGATATGTGTTTGGATCCGCTAAGTATACTAAATAACTTTATTCATTAATATCATGAATTATTTTATAATGTCACAAGTTATTAATGAAATTTAAAATTAAAATATTTTTATTTTAACGACAGATTGTACATGCCAACAATTTGTAACATTTATGCAATTTATGACATTATACTACGTTTTCTTTCATTGTTTTTAATGAAATGACAAAAATTCCCATTATATACACTTGTTTTATACATAAATATAACCAAATAGAGTGGTCCGCTCAATCAAATCGTGAAAATGGAGAATTTACAAAAACTCACATAGAGAATGATGCAATTGGCATCTTAATGACAACTAACTACACTAGTGGTGAATACGATTTTTTCATAAAATAACTTTGCGAACTTATGTGGAATTTTTATATGATAAACTATAGTTTCATGGAAATGAAGCTGTAAAATTTAAAACCATGAAATGGTAGGGTATTTTAAATGAAAGTAGGCCCAAAGATGAGGCCTTGTGGAAGAATCCAAAAAAGTTGGATAGCAGCCATGTTGTTATATTCCTCATTGCACTACCACCATTCCTCCTGTGAGTTCTTTATGGGACCAAATCTCTAGCATACCAAGAAACCCTAACACTGCTAGCTACTAATCTCTCCATATAATCTTCCCTTCAAAAGCATCCAAAATCTTCTATAAAGTGAAAGAATTGAATATCAACTTTTTAGGTTTCCTTTAAATTTTAAATTGCATGTGGAAAGAGACATATCCTCTTGCTAATTTCATATCACCAACCCACCATCACTTTCTTTCTCTTCTTGTTTAATTTAAATTAGAACATGCACTCAAACCTAGTTACTTACTCCTATATATACATCAATCTTTGAAAGAGTGGCAAGATTCTCCAAGCACTTGATTATTGTAACTGATCCAAAGCTGTACAACTATACACGTATCATATTTCATTTCACATTTTACTCTGTGTTATAAATAAATAAATAATTAAGACTTATGATCATAATGGGTGTCTTTTTCCTCTCAATACTTAACACACACATATATACACATACACAGACACACACACACACACCTATTCTTAGGGAAGCTAAGAGCTCCAGGATGTTACGTAGTCATTTAAAAAGAGCACAGAAATAAAAGCACATAAAAAGTTTATTCTTGTCTTCTTATTCCCTATTCAATCCCCTCTTTATTCCCTTCAGAAACTACAATGAAGTTGCCCCCTCTTCATCTTGATTTTAGCTTTATCATGCATGTCCCATGAAAGAAAAGATAGCATTAACATGCACGTTACTCTCTCTCTCTTTCTCTCTCAGATGGGATAAGTACATCTTTACTCTAATAATAGTGAAGCAAAAGCTCGAATCTAACGCAGAATAAAGCAATAAAGAAGTCTCTGTCTCCTAGTATATCACTCTCTTTCTTAAAAAATAAATGAGAAAAAAGAATCTCACCAATAAATGTAACGTGTATTGTTATTCAAAATCAAACTCAAAAATTTTCAATCAACAAGTTTGAACTTTGTTTCCCTCGTTCTCTATGACAGACACAAAATGTATTTGATAAATACCTATGGAGTAGTAATTAAAGTGAAACATCGCAAAATCATTATAAATAAAAATGAATGATTTTCATGATATATATATATATAGATAGGTAAAATCATTTCTGCAGCCACTTTACGTACAACAACAACAGCTGTATGGTTATAATGCTTTCGTCCTTATGATTTCCCGCATTTAATGTTTTCAAGTGTATATATGGCAAGTATTTGATTGCTGCATGTACAGCAGCTGCAGAAATGTAAAACCCATATATATATATATATATATATATATATATATATATAAATGTCATATCATAGTCGTTGTCATTTCACTTATAGATTACATAACGTTACGGTTCAAACACTGAGAGGAATCGTTTGTCAGTTTAAGGGACCCATCAAAAACTAAAAGATCTTCTTGAACTTCATCTCTTAAAGTAAAATTTCTTTCTATTAGGAAGGCATCAGCACCAGTAAAGATCCAAGTGAGATTTAGTGCAGATTACTGTACATGGCAGTGGCGTGAAGATCATGTATATTAATGAATGTTACGCATGAGATCAGATAAACATTGGACATACAAACTAAATTATTTGGTTGCTTCCACCCTCTATATATTCAATATAAAGCCCGTAATTAACTGCATAAAATAATGAGTTTATTAATAAAATTATGAAAAAAACACGTATAGAGATAAATGGATAGAATAAAATGTATATGTGTGCATGTGTTTGCATGTATCCCAGAAAACAAATATAAAAATCATAATATTGAATGTAATATTAATATTTTCTTAACTTGATGTTATATAACACTTAAAGCATATCTATCTCTTATACAAACCTCATTTTAAAATATATATCATCATTTTCCAATTATATATATATATATATATATATATAGAGAGAGAGAGAGATAGGATCATTTGACCTTAGTGTCAAATTTGAATTTTAACACCTCATTGGGAGCCATTAGATCAAAAAAGAGCAATGTCACATGCTTACAAATCAGAGCCGTTGATCTTTTTTGATCTAACGGCTCTTAAACAAGGTGTCAAACTTTAAATTTGACACCGAAGTCAAATGATCCTACCTTATATATATATATATATATATATATATATATATATCATTAATCGAGCAAGATATGATAATTTCGAATGGTTATTAATTAGGCTATAAAAATCTTAAACCTAGTGTAAAATGGATTTAAACACCTTTAGTTATGTATTATATTTTGTGAGTAAGCAATTCTGATTTGTACTGAGGCCACGAGAGTAACTTAATCTATGAATTCTTTCACCGCTTGAGGGTTCCACGCAAAAAAAAAAAAAAAAAGTTCTCGATAATTCTAAAAGAGAAAGCGAAAGTAACATGATTCCTCTCTAAACCTTTCAAAAATGTGAAAAGAAGTAGAAAGTGAAGCGCTAATGACCAACTCTTTTGGACATTTCTATATATAAATATAAAGAACTGATACTGAGAACAATTAATATTTAACTATATATATATATATATAATAACAAAGTGACTAACCAGCACAAGTAACAAGGTGGTTTGCAATAAGCACAAACTCATTGGTATATTTCTGGTATAAAAAAACAAGAAATTAAAAGTGAAATTATACAAACATTTTAAAATAATAAAATAATAAAAATAATACGAGGGGATGGTGTTGAAATCAAAATACTGATGATTTTCATGCAGCAGGATACACAATATTAATTTACTTTGGGTCTTTGGTTCTCCCTCTCTCTGTGTCAGAAGTGATAGCAGCCTTTTCTTGGGGTTTCTTTACATTCTTTTATACCCTTTGTTGTTTCTATATCTTTCTTTCCAGCTTGTCCCATTGCACACTGTTAGTTCCAGTGTGAGAGCCACCAAAGTTTTGTAAACAGGCCTCCATTGGAAAAGAAAGAAAAAGAACAAACTATGGATGATTTCTTGGCTTCTTTTTTTTTTGAAAGGAAACTTGAGGGAGGCTTCAAGCATTAATGATGATGACAATGATGTTGTCTATATGGTTTTGTTTATTCTCTATTGTTCACTCTCTCTCTCTTTTTTTTTTTGGAGTTCTCTCTCCTCTTACCCATTACCCATGATGATCCGGGTTGTCAGGGTCTGGCCAATAAGAAGAGTACTTCAACCATTCAGCTTCTTGTGGGTTTGTGATGGATGACTCCTGCATATGCATAAAATGAAAAGATTAGGGTTAGGGTTTATGGAATTAAATCTAATCACACTCTTAAGAGAAAGAAGATAAGCGTTTTTCCTAACAAGGCAAGCAATGAAAAAAACAAAAAACAAAAATTCAAGTCAATGTCACTTCTCCCAATCTTATATTGTTTGTTAGAACCAACCAATTCTTTTTTAAAATAAATAGAAAACCATTGAACATTAATTAGTAGTAGTTTAAATGGAAGAAAAAAAATGATGTTAATGGAAGTTTCTCACTTTTCCCAATCTAAAAAATTGATGTTAGTAATTCAAAAATGAAATAAAGAGGAGACCTTTTTCCTTTTAATTAAGTTTGATTCCACTTGGGCCCCATATTCTGTTTTATCATTTTTATTTCATTTTTTTTCTTTTCATTTATATATTTACTTATGCTCTCTTTTTCTCTCTATAGGCATTATGACACAAAGTTCATATAATTCCGAGTCAAAAAGTTATTTCTTACCTCTTTGATATCAGTTGAAGTGCACCCCATGATGAGTTCCTCTAAACCAGACGCAGACCTTCCACCTAGTTTATGATGTTGTTGCTGCCATGTGTTTGCATATTACAGATGCATTTCAAGTTCAACAATCAAATTCCAAAAACACATTTTAATCATCATGTTGAACAACAATCAAAAAGTGAAAAGACAGTTTCATGCTTGTGATTTATCAAGCACTTATCAAAGCTGGCCTAGTTAATGAGTTTGACTCATGCACAACCATGCAGACTCCATTTTGGATTTTCACATGCTAAGTGACTACCACTCAAGCCTATCTTTTCATTTCTTTATTATTATTATTACGTGCAGGATCTTTTGACATCAAATCTTAATCGTTGAATTCATGAATCTAACCGTTATAATTTATTGAGTCATACTTATTAATTATTTATTAATTTCTAATAAATATAATCGTTAGATTCACAGAAATTAATAATTAAGATTTAGTATCAAACTTTTTAATTTGACATCGGTGTGAAATGATCACGTCCCTCCCTGTTATTATTATGGGTTACATAATGGTAATAAACTTCTCTTTTTCCAAAATCCTCCGCTTTCCAACTTGACCTTTTATTGTTTCTTTTATTGTCACTATTTGGGGGCTGGCTAGCTATAATAATTCGTATGAAAATTAATTTGGGGGGGAGAGGGGAATTATAATCATGTTTAAGAAACGGGGTTTGTGTGAATTTACCTGGAAATTTTCATTTTGGAGCATAATTCTTGAGACATGGTAAGAGTTGTCGTCAAGGATGACAGATGTGTGGTGGAGGGGTGGTGGAGATATAATGGTAGAGATGGGATGTGAAGGCCTACTAATATGAAAGGCTGATGTTGCAATCTGATGGTGAGCATGGTGATGCTGCTGTTGTTGTTGATGATGAGAAGCCACATGTTGTGTTGGATGATGCCGTTCATGTATTTCTTCACATGAGCCTGATGCTTGCACCACTTCTCTTGCTGTGGAAGCCTCTCCTATTCCAACCTGAAATGTACACCATTATATTTAATATATATATTTAATGAGGTAGGATATTTTGATTTGTAAGCCTGTGACACCATTGATCTTTTTTTATCTAACGGCTCTCAGATGAGGTGTCAAATTTCAAATTTGACACCGATGTTAAAGTATCCTACCTCATATTTAATATATTGTTAAGTATATATTACCCAATTTTCTAGGTAGCTAGCTAGTCTATTAATTATTAACCTTTTCTTTCTCATTTTTCTCTATCTATGTAGATATTTTTAACTCTAGCTATTAACTTGTGTTAAATTCAGTGGTAGGTGAACAATTAGTGGTTGGCTGACACTGATTTACGATCAAGTGAGGTTCATACAATTTCATGCGGTATATGCAAGTAATATGGTTATGTCAGCGGCTACCTTAACCCTTTCATCTTTTTCACCTTTTGGTGTACAAATCAAATTTTTACCAAAAGAATGTTGAAATCCAATGAATAATGTTTGGTTGGTCAGCAATTAACATATAGATTATATATAAGTGAAACATCATGTTCATTGATCTTTAAGAAAGGTGCCAAAAATTATAACTATATATATATATGTATGAGAGGGAGATGAATGCTGCATAATATATTGATATATATACATGTACCTCATCAAAGCTTTTCCTGAATGGTATGAAGCTAAAATGGTCAGATTTCAGCTGTTGAATATCCAAAGCATGAGTGAAGCTTGTTATTGGAGGTACACCAACAACAGCAGACATTTCATCTCTGTGAGTAACTATTTCCTTTGAAGAACAACTCCCACTTCCACTGTCCCTTCTGCTATTGTTGTTGTTATTATTATTACTACTAGGTTCACCACTTCCTTCACCAGTTGTTGCACTTCTATCTGACCAATTGCATTGCCTTGGCTGTGTCTGATAGAATATCTTTGATACTACAAGCTCTCCTTCTTTCTCTTCTTCATGTTGTCCCAAATGATATTGGTGCATCACCCAGTTGGTTTTCTCAGGTTTTCTGTTCTTCCCAAAGTTGGTATAGAGAACTAGAATTTTCTTGCAACCCTTTTGTTTTCCATTAACCATCACTGGCCTAGTCTTACCTGTCTTGTGCCATCGAGTTTCTCCACCTTGTAAGTCACATTCGTTTTGAATCTTTCTTCTCTTTCTTGTCCCGGTTGTATAAGCCTTTGAAGGTCTATGGAAAAAGTGTCTGCTCAAGCCATCTCTTGTTACTCCTATATAAGATATATGAACCACACACACACACCCAAAATCAAAGTTAGGTAAACTTAATTAGGTGAACTACAAGATATATAAAACCTTTTTGATTAAGTATACGTTTCTTCTGAATACCAAAAGAGTAGTTTTAGTATATATATTAGATATATATACTAAAACCTAACAAGGAATTAATTAAAATAATAATTGATATGGATAAAATAGATAGAAAACCACAAAAACACCCCCAAAAAAAGTGTAGTGAGAGTTAGAAAAAAGGAGGTGTTTTGAATTTCAGTATTTCATGACTATATCTCACACCTGGAAGTTTCTCAGGATGGGTATAACAAATCCCATCTTCTCCTTCAATAGTAGGAATGAACTCATCTATCAAAGGGTGTGATTTCATGTTCTTTGCTTCCACTTTGGCTTCAAGATGTTCTATTAGTTCTTGGTCCGTTGGATCAAACTTCACTCCAGCAGGAAGACCTAGCCAGTCCTGCAATTAATCTCCAATAGAAATTCAAGTAAAATAACTGAAAGCAAAAGAGGGAGAGATAAGAAGAGAAAGAAGAAGAATATAAGAGAAAGAGAAAAAAAATAAAGAGAAATAAAGAGGGTGGAAGCTTTAACAAATACTTAAACTTTAGCCATAACTAACTAAGGGAGAAAAGGGAAACGCCATCAAATTAATAGCACAAGTCCAAATATATAACAAAACAACCATAAGCATATTAATATATGGCATACACTTTTTTTTTTTTTTTTTCCTTTGTATGATTCTTCATATTGTCAAAGGCTTTTCTTTGAAGGAAAGAATATTATTATTGAGATTATTATTTTTTTTCCGTACCGGTTTCCCTTCAAACTTGTGTCCGCAACCAGGGCACTGCTTGGATCCACACAACTGATGCTCTTCAAGCTTTGCATCTATGAGATCAGAACTACTTACAGAGTTCATCTTGCTGATCTTATTCGTGGTGACTTACGTATGATCAGTGATAGATGCTATCTCTCTTGATGAAGAAACCAGATATCTTCTTCAATTTGAATTCTCTTTTTATAGAACTTTCCACAACTTAGCATGTCCTAGTTTGTTCTCTCTATATCACATGAAAATCCAAGACCTTGAAATTTTCCAAAAAAGATCATCAAGAAGAAAAATTTAGATGAAGGGCATATTAATTATAATCATTTTTCACAAAATCTTATATATAAACTATCAAGAAATATGTGTATATATATATATATATATATATATACTTGATGAGCAGATGATGATCTGATTGAAAAAACTAGACAAGAACATAAATAGATAAACAAAGAGAAAATTCTTGAATAAAGACAAAAAAAAAGGATTAAAAATATTAATTCTCTGAAGAAATCAATCTTAAACAAAAATATATATATAGAACCGAGATGAGAATATGCTCTTAACAGAGAAAAAAAGGAAAATAAGAAGATAGAAGAAGAAGAAGAAGAAGAAGAAGAAGAAGAAAAGAAGAAATTGTAAGAGTAAGATTGAGCTATAAACCTGCTTTAACCATGGAAAACAGCAGAATTCCCTCTCTCTCTGTCTCTCTCTCTCTCTCTCTCTCTCTCTCTACTTTAACTGAGAGGCCAGTGAGAAAAATAATAAAGGAAAAGGTGGCTGCTTCGAACACACATATATATTACCTTTAAAGTCTTAGCTAATTCAAGAAGTGTGCATGTATGTATGCGGTTTATGAGAGAGAAAGAGAGAAAAAGATAAGCTAAGAAACAGTATATAAAGAAAGAAAACCCGGTTGGTTTTTCTAACTAAAGCTCATAGCCCAGCCTCTCTCCTCTTCTCTCTCTACAAGGTTCCTACACCTTTCTTTGAGCCTTGACTACAAAAGCAAAAGGCAGAAAACCACTACACAGCTGTTACTAATCAATTTGTATAATAACCTTATAACTATATATACTAAGACGAAAGTTATATTATAAACTTTGTATTTATAAACTCTTCTAAATTATATTAAGTGTGATCGGTCATATTTTAATCAAGAATGTATGACCGGTCATACTTAGTATAATTTATAAAAACAAATTATAAACGGATCATTCTCATATAATAATTATACCATTAAGCACATATATCATCTGGTAAGAAATTATTTCAGCTTAATCAATGTTTGAGTTTATGTCCTAAATACTTGGTGGAGAAATCTCAATGTATATATATACAGAGATAGGGTCCTTTGACACCAGTGTTAAATTTCAAATTTGACACCTCATCTGATAGCCGTTAGATCAAAAAATATCAATAGCTCTGATTTATAAGCATATGACATCATTGATCTTTTTTGATCTAACGGATCAAATGAGGTGTCAAATTTGAAATTTGACATTGCTGTCAAAGGATCTTACCTCGTGTATATATATATATATATAATAAAAACTAGGAAAAAATATATATCCCAAAGAAAAACGTTATCAATTTCTATAATACATTGGTTACTATCAGTAGTTGTAGTTTAGCTCTCTCAAAATCAAAAGTTGAAAAAGCAAATAGAATATATTATATAAATTCTCTTTTCTCATGTCACTTGAGATAATATTTCTCGTGTTATATATATAATAAGTGATAAGGTACACCACTTGTTAAAAAAGAAAAAAAAAAAATAGTGCGAATTTTGATATCTCTTAACATGAAAAAATTATTTCTTATTACATGAGAAAATGATTTTTTTATATTATATATAAAATTAAATATAAAAAGTCACTTGTGATTACGTGTCACAAAGCTCGGTACTTTGAGTAATAACGACGACATTAGGCAGAGTTACGGTCTCATTATTTTAGCATAACGGGATTTAATGTCAGACATATAATAAAGCCAAGATTTTTAGGGAGAGAGAAAGAGAGAGACACCCAGAGAGAAATATGGGGGGGAAAGGGATGATAGAAACTCACATGGGTTTTGAGCTGGAGTGGTGATGATGATGCTTTTGCCATGAATGTTTTGCACACACACATAAGGGGTGAGAGATGAGTGGGGAGTATTAGGAGGTTGCTTGATAAGCAAGACAAAGCAGTGTACTTGATGGACCACCACCTCCTACCTCTTCTAATTACTAAAACTTAATTAAGCTAAATCATATTTAAAAATAAAATAAAAATCTATGTAACTTGAACTAGAAGCACCAAATAGTTTACAGCTATAGCTAATAAAAATAATGGACTGCTATAATTCTTGAGATAGTACTATTATTTTCCCTTTCTTTTGTTATAATTCATTGTCCTTGTTTTATTTTCAGTGTTATGAAACTCGGTTCGACCTGGAGTCAAGCATCAGATCAGCCATATGTTCGACCCGATCAAATTTAGTCAAAGTCCGGCCAAAATTGATAACCCAATCGGGTCATACAATTGTGTAAAAAAAAAAGATCAAAATTATTTCATCTTGTCAAAAAAAATGTAGAACTTAATTTTAAATTTTTGTAATTTTATTTGTTAGTAGTTTACTCTTCTACAATGACATCAAATTTCAGTTTCCAATATTGAAGTAATTTGCGGAACAATAAATTAAGAGAATATGACATATGTCATTTCAATGTAAATGAATTTGAAAAATATGAGTACACAACATCTGACTTTTTGAATATCATTGAGAGGTATGCTTATAGAGATTTCGAGTTGCAATTTAAATTGACATAATAATAGCGTGCATTTTTATTTATTTGTGCTTTATAAACTTGTAAAAGTGTGATTGGATAATTTTTAAACTTATTTAGTGAATATTGTTTAATTCATTTTAGATATGAAAAATATAATTAAATTTATATATTCATATTTATATATATATTTATCTGGATCAACCCGATCCAATACTCTAATCGAGTCGATACCTGAATCAGATTTAATAACACTTTTATTTCTAATCCAGGCTTATATAAAGTGTTGATCACTCTGACATAAAATCATGAAGCTTACATATATATAAGAAGTAGACCCACACCACTATGTGGGTCCAGCATGGAAATCTTATGGCCCCTTAAAGTATCCTAATCAGATGATGGTTAGGTTTCACGTTTATAACAACATTCTTTGGAGCAGTCAAGAGAAAAATGATGGAGGGTCCCTAATGATGTTTGCAGTATATAGATAGATGGCTATGATTGTCCCTTTGTCTGGTGTCTTTTCCTTTTTTTCTGTTTTTCTTTCTCTTTGCAAATTGCAAGCTTTTTTTTTTTTTTTCATGGAGATGAGAATGAGAACAGAAATAGAATTTGCTCCTAAATATCATAGACTGACCTGAGGAATATATCCTATCTTAAGGGTGTATCTAAGAGAAATTTGGACCAACCAGAGGAACCCAAAAAAATAAATAAAAAAAATCACTTGTATGACATCATTTTACGTTACTCATTCTGACCAATAAGATTTAAGGTTAAAAAGAAAGAAAATAAGAGAATCAAATTACTTTGATTATCCATTTAAGTTGACCTATGAAGAACCAACCCAATAAGTAGCCCATAAATCCTAACGGAGTTTCATCTTCTCACAACTTTTTCTTTGTTTGCTTTGCATGAACCTTAAATATTCCACTGTTTATAATATATGAGGCAGGATCCTTTGACACCGGTGTCAAAGAAAAAGTTTGACACCTCATCTGAGAGCCGTTAGATTAAAAAAAATCAATGGTGTCACATGCTTACAAATCAAAATCGTTGATTTTTTTTAATCTAACGGCTCTCAGATGAGGTGTCAAACTTTTTTTTTGACACCGGTGTCAAAGGATCCTGTCTCATAATATATATTCACTTATAAAATGGTTGGTAACACAGTTCCGAGGAATATCATCTCTTGTACTAATGATAATTAATTATTTATAGTAGAAAAAGAAGGATTTAATTTTATACACACACAAATATTCCAAAATACTATTTTTTCTGCTTAAACCATCTTTAAGAATATTTCTTAAGGGAGTACATTAGTACAATTCTTGATACGGTGTTTATGTATATTCTAGAGTGCAAATGAAGATTTAGCCATTAAGACTTCGTAATTTTAGCATTCTTGCAGCGACCGGGGATACTTTATGCTATCCCTTTTGACTGCTGGTTTACATAACTAATTCAATTATAAAAATTGCAATTATTTTCATAACCCATAGTTATTAACATTAATAATTAATATAATTTAGTAATTAATTAGGAAGTCTCGAGTTCCGAGTCTTAAAAATAAAATAAAAATATTTTTGGAAGAACTTTCTCTTATAATTTGATCCCTTATAATAGGTCCAGTAATGTTCAAACTAGACTAGTCGAATAATTAATGAATTAGTAGATATATTAAAAAACAAAAATAAGAAATTAAGGGGTAATTAAGAATACGAAAAACATTGCAAGACAGCATGTTATATCAAACGGGGACAGGATAATAAAACAGAGAGTTTTTTTCACCCCGCAAAAAAAAAATTAAAAAAAATAAATAAAGAGAGTTTTAGTTGATACAAAATAAAGGGTTAGGGCGCACGTTGACGATGGGCTAGAAATTTCTGAGAGGGTGGCCTAATACTTAATTGATCCACTTAACTTTTCTTTAACTTGGGCCTTTGTGTAACATGGCTTGTGAGATGGAATTCTTTGGTGGGTGAGAGGTACTGAAAATACAGGGAGCACAAGTCCACCAAAATCAGCTTGAGCATTCAATTAGTCACCTTCAATTCAAGACATAGGTCCACAAATATGTATCCGTTTACTAATAAAGAATTTGAACATTTTTTTTTTTTTTGGGTACATTGCGTGCACTAAACTTCGCAAATGGAGAAAGGACGAGACTAATCCTCCAACCGAAGATTTTTTGACTTATACTCTGGCCCCCAAAGATTTTCTAAGAAACTGTTCGAGGGAGAGTTTGATCCCTGCACCAAGTAATCCCTTAGAAGCTCAGCTAGGGGTTAGAATTTGAACATTTGGATAAGAACTATCTATGACTCTTGTGTGCAATAGGAAAGAAAAACAGCTAAGATTTTGGTAAGTACAAAAGTGGGTATGACCACTGAAGCGCTGATCATATTTATTAGTTTATATCTGGTGAATGGTGATAGCTATCTTACTCTGAAAAATATTGTTTTGACCAATTGGACCTGAACTGTTAGTGGGATTGTGAGTCCAATATGTAACTCTAAAAAGGTATGGTGGTCACTATATGGGTATCAACGTTAGCAGAGGTAAAACGAGAAGAAGCACAACGAGACTAATATGTAGAATCATAGTGTTTATATTTATATGAAAATGTTGATATAAACTGAATGATACAAAAAGATTATATAAAACAATTTTTTTAAGTGGGTCATTACCGTCTAGAAGATACACATGAAACCAAACTCGTAATTCTACACACTTCAACGTATGACCTCTTCATTATTAGCTTTAACTAAATTTTGTTGTACAAGTTTTAACTGTAAATAATGGGACAGGTTATTCTGCCTACTCTTATTTTGTCTACCTCTTTCAACATTGTTTGATTACAATATCATCCGACGGTAGATATTTGCAAAATAAAATATACTCTTTTTTCTCTTTCTTTCTCCTCACTTCCTATATCATCCTTTCTCTCTTTTCCCCTTTCTCTCTTTCCCTTTCTCTCTTCCTAGGCTACGGCTACCAATACCAAAAATT